TGAGAGCCTTTTTCAGATTTTTTTTTATCAAATCGGCGAGAGACTTGTGTGATTTTCTATGTATGGATAGAAGCATTGAAATGCAAGTATATAAAATTCGCATAAAGCATGATTATCAATTAACATGTTAAAAGTATATGTTACGAGATAAATAAATTCCAACCCAAAACTGGGAAACTTAAATCATGTAATATGTTCCAATGTGATTCTAGATCTTTGTGTTACTGAGAGGAAATTGGATCACATCACAGAAGCACTGAATTCTTTAGTTTTTGATGTGAAAAGAAGTTAATAACGATATAAACTATTGTACAGATAGAAGAAGAAAATTGATAGCAATAAGGGATAAGTAATGCTGAACAAACTTAACTATTTATAAAGGCAATCCCTTGAACAAGATAAAGGACACATCTGCGTGCTTTTCGACTCCTTCGCTGACACCTGTGAGGCAAAGGCTATTGAATGAAAACTTTTTGGATAAATTTTTTGAAAAAGGTCTTAGCTTCAACGCTTTTTTTTACGTTGGAAACTTTTATGCTTTCATTTGAATTCATTGTAGCTGTACGTTGTTTATCAACTCATTAGTTAAACCTACCACTTTAGAAATCATTTCATGAAAAATTTCTCCCCAAATTCTAGGAAAAATAAGGATTTAGGTTTGAAGAGAGAAGAATAAACCACTTACGAAACATAACGTCATGTTATATACCTTAACTCGCCTTTAAAAAAAAATAATCCGACTACGCTTTTGGACATCTATTAGATGACCAGATGCAACACTAGACACACTGAAAGCTGCTTCATGGCGAATTTATTATATAATCTTAAACAACGCTACATCACCAAAAAAACCTGATACAACTTCAACTATGCACCAGAAATAAATTTCATAAAAATATTACCGGTAATACAGGATTAAAGCATCAGTAAGTGATAACTACTTTCTAAAACACAAACTCAAAAGTCGGGTGTGATTCGAATGACGAACCGGAAACAATCAAACGGGAATGTTCTACTCGGGGTTTAGAACCGGAACATTACGTAGAACTAAAAATTAACTTCACGATGGACAAAGAAGTCACGTTCTGCGGATGAGATATCTAGTTACCTAAAACGCATGCAGAGAAAGGAATGAAGGCTGTAAAACATCAAGAAACAAAGTGATGGACTGAACTATTACACCTGTCAACAAACGGACTATGGTAACCGTAATTAAAGTCGCTATCGCCGGATATAATGACTTCAAATGAGATTAAGAAAGAAAGAGAACAACACAATGCGCGAACTAACAAGCGCGGCTAGAAGTTCTGGAAACAAATTATTTTAAAAATTAAGAAGTGCAAAGTACAAGATGAATCATAACAGTGTACTGTGGCTGGGAGAACGAAAGCACCTACTGAAGAAGAGGCGCTGCCGTTTCGGTCTGCGTCTTCTCACCATCTTCCATGATATGATCTACCTCTTTCAGCGGAATATCAGGTAGCGGATCGTCCTGCAAGGTTCCACCGTAGACCATCAACACGCAAGTAAGAATTACCATCGCCAGAGCCTGAGTATATCGTTTACAACCACTTGATTGGAACAAGATAAAGCGACTCTATGTATGAGTTTATATCCTAAAGTAGAAAAAAACCTGTCCGATGATAGAGAATGTAAGGAAAAGATCAGCAAGCAGTTTATTTGAATAGAGCAAGCAGCTCCCACTCTAAACGAATCGAAATATTGAGGAGTTGATTAATTTGAGTTTCCTTTCTTACCGAATCACCGCAAGGTTCCGATTGATATCGGATACAACTCACATCAAACATCCAACCAAACAACACCGGTGCCGGAATGGTTCCGATTACTCGCACAAGGATACCCTGTATCCCTAGTGCAAAAGATCTTTCATTGTAGTCCACAGTTCTGCAAATGATATTTCAGAAGGAAAAGATTGCAACACTTATTAAATAGATAGTAACGACTTACCTCAATATCACCGATATGATTGGCACACCAACTCCAAATGTACAAAGTGACAGCGGAGCGAAGATAACAAGGAAACCAAAGAGACCTTTGCATTTTGACTGACATATTCCTTTCTTGACTTGACGTAGATGAAGACGCGATGTTTCGATGACACAGGAGCAATTGGAATAGAACTGAAACACAATAGTCTTACTTTACCGTTTCGATAAGTTGAGATTGCATCATTTTTTAATAGAGGTAGACCTTCTGCATAGGGGAATAAGCTTCCGAGCACCCAGCAAAACATGGTGAGTAGTACGAAAGCTGCCGTCCATCCCGAAACTCTGCGCAAACCGGGTGGAACTCAGCTTCACTACACAGACAATGCGAATTACATGCACTTCGCAGTGTCGGTTCTATATCAGAATAATTACCAATGGAGATATGGCCGTCTCTGAAAATGAAGTGAGTACTTAATGAAATTGAATGCTTGGAATGGTACTCACCGATCAGGATAAGTAGTTTCAACTCCAATCAGTGGATCATGTGGGCAATAGATGAGATACATCGGAGTAAGTATTAAGGAAAAGAAGAGCAATCCCACCGCTAGTTTGAGTGTCGTCACACAATTCAATCGGAAGTACTGCACAATGAAACCGGAAATCATACAACCAACTCCAGCCATTGGAACCATGATACATCCTTAATCAACATTTTCAAGCTGTGAATAGTCTAAATTTTCCAGCATACTAAAATAGTGGGTAAGGTATCACTACTCTTCCAAAAAGAGTATTTCCTCTAAGCAAACACAAGTTCAAGCACAAGCAGACCTTTTCCGCTTTCTTTTCTTTGAAAGATTGGTCAACAATTTCTTACTGAGGTGTCCTATAATATTATAACTTTAGTCTAGACAGCACATGGTCAGATGTTGACTAACAGTAATTGCTTTTAATAAAGCTTATGCAATTTTCATATAAAATGCCACTCTGCACTACGTCCCCAAATTTTGAAGGATTTTTTCCAAATGCTCATAGTTTCGCGTTGTTGCAACTCTCAAATTGGCAGATGGATGCAGTGCATCAAATCAGCAACTTCTGGCTATGAGTTCACAACGGTAGCTGTACGCAGTTTCGTTTTATGCTTGCCATGTAGCATAAACGCCACGAATTTCGAGGGTGGTATCTGCAAATTCGGAATTTGAGCGGCATTGCTTTTCGATGGTCTTTTCGCGTCACCCTGACGATTATAGTTTCCAAGAAATGGGATGGTCCAAATGGAAAATGGTTCTTTAACGATCATCTCCACTAGGTGTTAACTACCTGAAAACTATAAGCTTCGAACGCCTCATCTAACAAAAGTCTTTCGATTCTAGCCACTAAAGTGGAGTTTTCAGTTGTCTACGTTATCTCCTATTAATGATACAACTTTCCATATGAGAACAAGATATGAAGAAGATAATCAGATGTTATCCAACAGCTTTGCCATTCGAGC